TCCTCCAAGAGCTGAGTATTTTATTTTATTTTTTCCCCAATATTTGTCCTAATCTTTTGTATCACAAAGTTCATGTCAGGTTACTATGCCTTCCTCAAACAGCCTGGGACAAATAGTTGATGTATAACAAGATGTTATCTAGAGAAAAAGGTTATCCATTATATGAGTATACAGTTATTCTATTGTTATATATCTAACAATTATGAAACCTGTCATACAAGATATGTATAAATGTGTATAATGTGCATAGTATGACAGAGAATTGTTTTAGAATATAATGGTCCAACTTCTGTTGAATAAATTATGTTTGCACAAGGTGATGATATTATTGTCAGTGACTGATTGCTGGTGTTCACAGAGTTCCTGTCATGATTCCAGGGATCATATGAGTCACCTGCAATGTGACTGATGGTGATAATTTTTTCTCAAGTTGAGAGACTCCAAAGATGAAAGCAGGAACTTTTCATGGCGGGAAGTTTCCCTCTGCTCTTCATGCTATGATCTTACACAGGCATAATTTACTCAATAGGGTTTCACTTGATAGATGCTGGAATATAGGATTTGTAACTTGAAACATACAACACTTTAGATAGATATTGATTCTGTATACATATACTAGTCTGTTAAACACCATGATGTAAGTTCTGTATGAATACGGTCAAAGCATGAGAAAACAGCATGTGGAAATGGAATGGTGATGATGTCTGTTCTGTGCACCAGCAGTGCTAAGAAAGAAGACATATTTGCTGTAATAATAATTGTATAATAAAAATTTATTACAGATTATAGCAATACTTTTTGTGGTTTTCTATAGATAAGAATACTCAGAAGTGGTCTAATATTCCCTTTTTCTGTGGGCACTCAGGGATTGTGCAGATTGCCCAAGGTTACACTGATTGGCTTTTCTCCCACGAGGCACAGTGAGAAATCAAACTTTGATCTCTATGCTCCAACTAAGCAAGCTGCCCAGCCAGTTGAAAATGTTCTAATAATGCAAAAAACTAGCTTAAATCAGCAAGGGCCAAAGCTGGAATAACACTATCTTAAAAACTGATTTTTGGTAAGGAGTAATGAATGCCGGAGCTTGGAGGAAATATGTTAAGAGGTAATGTTATTACTGTTACATGTTGCTTTTCTGAGCAAGAAGGGAAATAAAGTTACTTTTTAAAAATTACTAATAGAATAGCTCACCCTCTAGTAATACTTTCTAAACATGCCAAGTAAGATTTCTCCCCCCAGGAGTAAAGACTGATTGACTTACATTGTTTGTACCCCACCTTTCTCCTCAAGAGGACACAAGATAGCTTACAATATTAAAAACTAACAATATAAGAAAAATGAAAGGGAAAGGAGATATAATTTTATGTTCTGACATACAGGATCCCATGCCCTATTTCTACATTATCAGAAATTTTGTGGGAATGAATGGAATTATGCCCCATTAGGAGGCCCCCAAAAGAAGGGACTGCTAAACCATTTCTGAATACCTAGAAAACCCTGGAAAAATGCTTACCATAAATCAAAATTTTCTTGCTAGCATGCTATGATGATGATGATTGTTGTTTTTGTTGTTTTTGTTGTTTTTGTTTTTGTTGTTATTGTTGTTATTGTTGCTGCTGCTGCTGCTGCTGTTGTCCTAAAACATCAGGCACAGTCAATCAAAATTATAAAAATACTGACTAGTATCATACAACTTTTAAACAAAAACCCAAGTATCTGTTAAATTTGTAGAGTTCTGACTCCTGTCCTCTGAAGATGCCAGCCACAGAGACTGGCAAAACGTTAGGAAGAACAGCCTTCAGAACACGGCCAAAGAACCCGAAAAACCCACTACAACTATCTGTTAAATGTCAGCACATTATGTATGCTGTTGCCATTTTTTGTACCTCTGATGGTGTGATTTCTGAGATCTGCAACTGCTTATAGTACAGTGGTGCCCCGCATAGCGACGATAATCTATTCCGGATAAATCGTCGCTATCCGGATTTGTCGCTATGCGGGGGGG